TCAGCAGGACTCTGCAGGGACACAGGGTGGCTGTGGTTTAGGTGGACCGGCCGGGCGGCAGGCGTTTGCTGTCCAGAATGGCCTTCCAGTCATCGCTCCAGGACTGCAGCCTGCGGCTGGGGGGCTTCAGCTGCAGGTGCCGGTTGTGGCAGGCCGTGAAGAGCACGTGCTCCCAGCTGGGGTTCAGCTCGGCCCCTGCAAAGCAAGGAGAGATGTTGGCAACTCTGCAAGATGCAGAGGTTGTCCTTACTCCAACATGAGGAGCCTGCGGACACAAACCCCTAACGAGAGCCTAATCAGCTGGGGACGGCCCAGCACTCAACACCCCCTGATGCCGTCTGCCCCTCGGGGCTGCCTCCGGTCACTCCTGTCACACCGCACCTCCCTTACCTGTTATATCAGGTCTGTCGTCTATAAGCAGGTCAGCAGAAACCACCGTCTTGTCTCGCGTCAAAACGATCTGCTCGAGAAACTCGGGGCCAAAGTGCTTCTCCACCCAGGCGTACTGGAAGGAAAGGGGTGAGCAGTGAGCACAGGAGGGCTGACGATGGGGCAGGGGCTGCTCGGCAGAGCGGCAGCACCACCAACACGAGCCCTCGCCTCCATGCAGGGAGGACATCTCATTTAATAAGTGCAGTAGTGGGAAGGATTTGGATGCTGCTGGAGCACAAGTTCCTTTAAAGCCAAGCAGCTTTTGACAGCATGATTAAATATTAAGACCAAGTGCTTCAGTGCATGCAAATGGCAGAGATAAAACTGGTGGAGCAGGGAAATATCGCTGCTGTTTGACAGCCAGAGGCACGCAGGGGCTTTCACCAGGCAGCACGGTACAGGAGGACGTTGGACCCGCTCACCTTCTCGTATGGGCAGTAGCGGTACTTCTTGATCGGGCTTGTGCAGATGAACACGTCAGTGCTGCCATGGGGAGAGAAACGGGGGCAAGGTGTCAGTCCATGGCCAAACACAACAATCAGACCCTGCTCTCCCATGAGATGCACCCATCTACCCCTGCACGACCCCACTCAGTGTGCAAGGAGGCACCCAAAGCAGACCCCCTACCACACACAGATCAAACCAGGGGGGTTTTACCACCCTTGCTGGGAGCAGAGAGCTGAAGGAAAGGGCTGCACATGGCCGATCTTCCTGGTGACAGCTCCTAGGAAGGGCTTGTAGGCATTTTCAACACTGATGTTGTATTCAGTGCTTCTGCTGAGAGAAGGATGAGCCCACAAAGCCACTGCTGCTCCCCTGTCCATTCTCCAATACCATGGGCAGGTTCCTACTCACTCTGCCAAATTTGCCATTTGCTTCACAGCCTCCACAGCCCCGGGGAGCGGGTCCAGCTCGATGAAGAAGTTCTTGGATTCCCAGATGCTGATGGCTTTCTCCTGTGAGAGGAAAGAGAGCAGTTACGGCACGGGGCTTCTTGCTACTCTTCTCCCTCCATGTGCATCTTCCCCACCCTTTGCTAAGACAGAGGATGGTGGCAGTGAGAAAGGTGAGAGCCCTGGCTCCAGTCCCCTCCTGCTAACCCATCTTGCCTCTGTGGGTGCCTCTGCACCCTGCCAACCTGCACCCATCCCATACAATTTAGATCAGAGATGCTCTGGAGCAGGCTTGGTTTTGCCTGTGCAGCCCCAGACACAGAGGGAGCAGCACGTTCCTTCAAGACAAAACAGAAGACAATGCCCAAAACAGAATTAAACCCCAGATCAATGTCTAGAGGGGCACTTCCATGTGGATCCGGCTGACGTGGCCTGCCAGCCCCGCTCTAATGCAATGCTGTTCAGCCACAGATGCTGCCTGGCCTATTTGAATCAATCAGATCACTTAAAATAGCAGCTGGACTGGTCTCACAGGAGAAAGTATATTACAGGATGAACTTCACGTCAGGATGAACGCAGCTGCTCTTCCTCAGAGGTGTCTGGGCAAGGTCTACCAGGCAAACACAGCATCTCCAGGCACGAGTTTGAAACACTGAACAGCCAGGTCAGCAGCCGGGGTGCAGTGATTTGGTGCACAGGGAGAGACCACAGGGAGCAAAACCTTGGGACAAAGGCAGAGCCCAGGGGTTGCCTGCGATGGGTCTAAGGAACAGCATCCCCTGCGCTCCCCCAAACAGGGAACGGCTCATTCATCACCACACAAAGCAATTATTTCACACCAATACCAGGTCCTCGGGGAGGAGAGCCTGGGAGTGCTGCAACGCGGCCACGGGCAGAGGAAGCGGCCGTGCCCCAGCATTGCAATGCAGCTGAGCAGCTGCAGATGCAGCAGGGAGAAGTTTTGATGGGAATCCTGCCCTGCAGGGTTGATCTTGACTTTGAGCACCTCCATTTCTGTATTTGAGGCAAGGGAATAGGGACTAAAGGAACTTTAAACCCATCCTGGCCTTCTTGTATGGCAAAGATATGGAGGCAGAGTATCAGGGTAGGGGAATGCAGTCTTGGTGATGCTTATAGACCAGGTTGGATGGGGCTTTGAGCAACCTGGTCTGGTGGGGAGCATCCCTGCCCATGCCAGGGGGTTGGACTGGATGATCTTTAAGGTCCCTTCCAACCCAAACCATCCTATGACTCCATGATATGCTGCTTCTTACAGCTCATAGCAACAAACAGGCTGGACAGGCCGGACACACCAGCTAGGCTTGCAGCTCCCTCCTGCCTGATCAGTGGGAATCTAGTGGGTAACCACCACGTTTTGCCCGTACTACACCTGTACTGGGGTAAGAGAGCACATTCATACATGTTCAACATGAAACACACTGATTTGGTGCAGGAGAGCCAGCAGAAATGCCTCCTGGCAACCACGATAGCTACCCTAAGTTCACCACAGGGCCAGGCAAACATTCAAATTCCAGTTGCTCTGCCTCACATCAGTGGGCAATGATGTTTGATTTTTAAGATATTGACTGGAGTTGCACGAGAGATCTGAGAAACACGCCTTGATGCAGCGAAGCACTTCAAACTGCGTTGAAGTGTTTTTCTTACAGCAAGGACTTCCGCAGCTATTCTGCTTCCATTTATGTCAAAAAGCGTTTTGCAATCAAGCTCGATGGGGGAAGAACTAAGCTCATCTTGGAAGAAAAGACCCGCTCGGCTCCCAGAGCCAGAATAACTCCTTGCAGCACTGCAGTCAACGCGCTGCTGCCTTCTCATCTCTCCCCATGAGCAATTTCCCTGCTCACCCTGAGCTCCCCATCTTCCCAGGGCTGGGTGCTCAGTGTATGGCTGCTGTTCTCCTTCCTGGAGCTGGGACCTTCAGCTCGTTGGACTCTTTGGCTCTCATTTTCCAGTCTCCTCCAGCAGGTCACTGGTGCTCTGTGATGAAGGGGGACTGGAATGGCCCATGTGCCCATTGCCACAGAGCGGCTCCTGCTCTATCCCTGGTCTGAAACCACGGGTGAAATCAGGGCTGCCATGAGGTGGAAGTTTTGCTACTTGTCCAGCCCAAGGTTTTGCCTGTTTTACGTGATCACAGCAGACGCAAGACGAGCGCACTTCATTTAACACATCCAAAGTAGTTAAGATCAAGGAAAAAAAAAGTTACCATGCATTGCCCTGGCCAAACTTTTAGCATCTGCCTTACTGCATGAATGATGCCCTCCCTTTCCCTGTCATCAACCCCAGCTAGAAAACACACATTATTCCTTCAGCTCATCAAACCATTTAGGACTTGAGTGGGAGAGCCCTGTCTTTTATTCACGCTCCCTTCCTTGTAGCCCTCATACCACACCACCACCAAGAGTACTTTCATTTGCTGTAACACCTTTCAGCTAAGGCCACTGCAATCCGCAGATTAGACCAGAGATGTCCCATCGAGATGGGAAACTTGCAGACACAGAAACCGACTTTCTGCAGCGCTCAGCCCTTCCTTGAATGATAAAGTACAACATAAAGGGAGCTTCTGCTTTTAGGCTTTAATTATTAAAAGGAATACAATAATTTACAGACATGGGAGGGCTTGGGGTTGTTTTAAGTGAGCCCTCACATGGAGCAGCGATGGCATGGTTTGCTCTCAACTTCTCTGCTGCGTCCCACCCCTCCCGTTGCTGTTGAGGAAGTAAATAATCAATCTAGAAACAGCATCGATCCATGCAGGTTGGCTAGAAAAACCCAGCTATGCAATTTGGGACATTTCAAAACAGATTTCCTTTGCATCTATCTCCATCCATGCATGCAGGGAAAAGGAGGGGACAGATGTGCACGAAAAATGCTGGATTTCTGGGAAAAGAGGTACCACTGGAAGCCCTCCTGCGTGCTGGACCTGTGTTTTGGTGGGAGCTCCAGCCAGCACCCACAGCCCACCCCATTGTACCCATGATCTGGGGCCCAGTGGGTCCCTCGAAGCTGGAGCTCTGGCTGCATGGCACAGAGCGACCAAGAGCCACGCGCGGAGCCGGGGGATGCAGAGACTCACGCTCAGCTCGGGTCCCAGGCGCCCGTATTGCTCCGACACCCAGAAGCCCCTCCGGTCCTCCAGGGCAATGTAGGGCTTGTCAGGGTACCTGGCCCTGAACTTCTTGAGGAAGCCTCCTTCGAAATCGGCCAGCACCCCGTCCATGTCCACCAGCACCCGCAGAGCCCTGCGGGAACCCGCTGTGGGGCTGGCACCCCTGCTCAGCCCTGCCAAGGGGCCGCAGCAGCGAGGCCGTAGGTGCAAGAAGCTGCTCAGCAAAATCATGGTGGAAAGCAGGGGGCTCGGGGTAGGGGATGGGGGGATCTTTGGGCCGGGGGGAGGCTTTATTTCAAGCA